ACAGAGTCCTTTAAAGCTCCGACATCCATTCCAGATCACACTTTGTGTTTTTCTACCCCCAGTGTCATTCATGCTGCAATAGTTCTTCCATCTTTGTCTTTCATGACCTTGATAGTTTTGAAGAGTATGAGCTAGTTACTTTTTAGAAAGTTCCTCAGTTTATGTTTGTCTAATATTTTTTAGGATTTGTGCATTTGGAACAGGAACTGCAGAAGCGATAAAGTGTTCCCAGTGCATATGTTAGGAAGCATAGAATGTTGATTTTTTCCATTACTGAGTATGCCAGCCTGGTTAAAAATTGTCTGCCAGGTCTCCAGCCTGAGATAGCATGTTGCACTTGTCAATAGTGCTTTATGGGAAAATACTTTGAAATTGATTGGATATCTGGTTCCTCAACAAATCTCCTGGTAGGTTTATTTTTTATTTTTTATTTTTTTAAAGATTTTATTTATTTATTTGATACAGAGAGAGAGAGAGAAATCACAAGTAGGCAGAGAGGCAGGCAGAGAGAGAGGGGGAAGCAGGCTCCCTGCTGAGCAGAGAGCCCGATGCGGGGCTCCATCCCAGGACCCTGGGATCATGACCTGAGCCAAAAGCAGAGGCCACCCAGGTGCCCCATCTGGTAGGTTTATTAACCATTGATGACACTTGAATGAATCAATGTTTTAATTTTGTTGTGATGGTGGTTACTTCAGACAAAGAGGGTTTTATTTTTACTTACAAGAATTCTGGAGGAGAATGGCTGCTGGCACTGGTTTGGTCAAATGATTGATTGGTCAAATGCTTTGATCTGAGAGGCTCTTGACCTTTTTCTCATGGTAGTGAGATGGCTGTTGTGGTTCCAGGCATCACATCCTCAATCAAGGCAGGAAGAAGCGAGTGGCATGGAGGTTTACCTTGCCTGTCTTTTTTTTTTTTTTTTAATCAGATAATGGTTGCCAAATACTGATTTTTTTCCTTATATACTGGCTCAACAAAATGTTCCAAGGTGGCTTTTTCTTGTATTTTTACCTGTCCCAGCTCTGGAAGCAGCCATTTCTCCAGGAAGCCCTATTTCCCCATTAAAAATCAAGATCTGGGTGCTGGTGTGCTCACAGCTATTGTGTTATCAATTCTTACTTTTCTCATTGTAATACATGTGTATGTATGTACCATATATAGACATTTATCTACCTATATATCATCCATCTGTCCATCCATCCATCCACCCATCTTTAAAACCATGAGTGCACACCAATACCCCTAATTTTTTTTTTTTAGGATTTTATTTATTTATTTATTTGACAGAGAGAGACACATCGAGAGAGGGAAAACAGGCAGAGGGAGTGGGAGAGGGAGAAGCAGCCTTCCCACTGAGCAAGGAGCCCAATGTGGGGCTTGATCCCAGGACCTGGGATCGTGACCCCCCCTGAAGGGAGACATGACCGAGCCACCCAGGCTCCCCGAATTTACCAATTTTCCACTACCTTGCCCCATGTGAAAGCTAACTCCTAGATACACACTAGTCAAGACCCCGTCCCAAACATATACCTCCTACCCAATTCCATTCCCATCCAGCGCACTGTTTGAAAGCTTGTCCCCAACGAAGGAGTAAATCCATGCATTTTAACTCAAAAAAAACAGTCACTTTTGAAGCCTTCATGGGAATCAATTCAAAATCTTGAAACTTATGAAATTCAGAAATTGACAAGAAAGGGACAAACTAAGTATTTATGCTGACCTTTATAATCTATCTGGACCTCAGGTTAACCAGACAGATGAAGGGAAACTTCTCTTTATAGATGTATTCCAGAAATAAATGCAGAAGGCTAGATTTTGAATACAACCGTTTTGTAACCCCTAACGGATTGTGAATCTAGGTAATGCTTTGCAGCCACTACAAACAACACAGATAAGAGACACGCTGCTGGCATCGTCTGTCTCCTGATGTGTGCACACGACTCCTATGGAGCGCTCAGCCCTACATCTGATCACACTCTAGATCCAGCTGTTCATTTACAGGAAATGCAGGGGACAAAGGCCCAAGGGAAATAACACCATAGGTCCATAGAGACAAAAAGCGGATTGGTGGTTGCTGGGGACTAGGGAAGGGGAAATAGGGAGGAAATGCTAAATGGATATGAGGTTTCTTTTTGGAGCGGTGAAAAAAAAATTCTGAATTAAAGTGTAGTGTTTGCATAACCTTGTGCAGGCACTAAAAACCACTGGATGTATATTTTAAAATGAATGGTGTGCCTGGGTGGCTCGGGTCATGATCCAGGGGTCCTGGGATCGAGCCCCACATCAGGCTCCTTGCTCAGCAGGAAGCCTGCTTCTCGCTCTCCCTCTGCCTACTGCTCCCCCTGCTTGTGTTCTCTCTCTGTCAAATTAATAAATAAAATATTTTTTAAAAAAGATTTTATTTATTTGACAGACAGAGGTCACAAGTAGGCAGAGCGGCAGGCAGAGAGAGAGGGGGAAGCAGGCTCCCTGACGAGCAGAGAACCCGATGTAGGACTCGATCCCAGGACCCTGAGAGCATGACCCGAGCCAAAGGCAGAGGCCTAACCCAATGAGCCTTCCAGGCACCCCAATAAATAAAATCTTTAAAAAAAAGAGAAATATTTAGAGGGGGATCATGTCTGGGATTTGTACACAGGAAGAGAATGGGGTGAAGCCAGATTGGTTGAAGCTGGGTAGTGGGCTTATCATTAAGACTATCCTGCCCTTTTTTCTTTTTTTTAACGTTTTATTTATTTGATAGAGTGAGCAAGCAGAGAGAGAGAGAATGATCATGCAGAGGGGAAGGGCAGAGGGAGAGAGAGAAGCAGACTCCCCACTGAGCAGGGAGCTCGACATGGGACCCTGGGAACATGACCTGAGCTGAAGGCAGACACTTAACTGACTGAGCCACCCAGGCGCCCCATTCTTACCACTTTTTTTTTTTTTTTTTTTTTTAAGATTTTATTTGTGAGAGAGGGAGAGAAAGAGAGCACAAGCCAGGGGAGCCGCAGGCAGAAGCAGCAGCAGACTCCCCACTGAGCGAGAAGCCTGATGTGGGACGAGTTCCCACAATCCTGGGATCATGACCCGAGCTGAAGAAGGATGCTTAACCGACTGAGCCACCCAGGCGCCCCTCTCTCCACTTTTAAATGACATAATTTATTTAGGTTAACGCAGTTTATAGAAAAATTAAACCCAGAGTTACCCTGTGGCCCAGCGATCTCATTTTTTACTATCTACCCAAAAGAACGGAAACCAGGGACCTGAGCACCTATCTGTACACCTGCGTTCGTTGCAGCATGGTGCACGACCCCCAGCAAGTGGAAGCAACCCAAATATCTGCTGATGGACGAATGGATAAACGAGAAGTGGGAGGTCCGTACAAGGCATGATCATTCAGCTTTTGATTAGAAGGGAAAGCCTAACATCCACTGCAACACCAATGAACCCTGAAGACATTATACTAAGTGAAATAAGCCGGTCACGAAAGAACAATGGTGTATGATTCCACTTACAGGAGGTCCACTTGAGGAGTCAAATTCACAGACAGGAAGTAGATGATGCCAGGGATGGGGCAGGGGTGGTGGTGTGGGGAGATGGTATTTCATGGGGCCAGAGTCTCAGTTTTCCAAGACGAAGAGTTCTGGAGATGGACGGTGGGGGCCGTTGCTCAAAACTTAATGTACTCTGAGCTGTACGCTGAAAAACGGTCAAGATGGCCAATTTGATGTTGTCTATTTTGCCATTAAGGAAAGACGAACAGGGCCTGGCACTGAGGGACATGCTGGGCTTCCTACATCACGGAAATCAGGGTAACTGAAACGACATGGCTGGACTGTGACTCCCAGGGGGACAGTGTCGCTGTCAGTCTTGTTCCCTCGTATGTGCCTCAGGCCTGGCCAGTCCACGGAGGTGCAGGAAAGATCTGATCTCTGGACTGCCTGAAACTTTCCAGGGTACCTCATTACTTCACCGGGACTCCCTGAAGCCTCTGCCCTCCCTCTGCCCTCTCACGCCCACCCTTCCCAAAGCCAGATTCAGCGCCCCCAGGGTCTGAGTGAATGGCCACTGAAGTGCGTGTGGCCTACCAGATTCCGCACTGTCCTGTTGCTGGCCTTGGCTCAGGCTGTCCCCTAGCCTGGAGCACACACCTTGGGTCACTCCAGCTTCCCTACAGAACAGCCCCCTGGGGCTCAGGCCTCCTCTGGAAAGACTGCCTGGGTTTGCCCAGCTAGCCAGGAAGGGCAGCCAAAGACATTGGGAGGGAGTAGACCCCCGTCTCTGCCGGCTCTTCTAGGGGTCAAGGGTGTAAGTGGCTTCAGCCAGAGGGTAGAGCTTCTAGAACAGGGGCAGGCACTCTGGTGAGAGAGGACACATTGGGTCACATGGTCTGGGCAGGGATGGCGGTGGAGGGGGATAGCGACACTTCCTCCATAGTGGCAAATGGCCCTCAGGCCATCTCTGCCCACATGGACCAGGGGAGAAGCTGGATCCTGGGCAGAGGCAGAGAAACTCCAGGCCACCTGCCTCCCCTCCATCACCAGCATCCTCCCTTTGGGCCCTCCTTAAAGGTCAGCCTGGGATCAGATGAGCTGGGGTGGCAATGGCATGACCAACGTCCCCTGGATGAGCCCCTTTTGCCTGTCCTTGGCAGGACCCCAGAGGAGGCAGCAGCCACGGGCAGCAGATGGAAGCAGGGACGGTCCAATCCCAGGGCTGGGAACAGGGAGCAGTGGGTACAGCTCAGCCCCTGCCAAGGGGCACCGTCATCTCTGGGAAGAAGTTGAATACATTCCCCTAGTCACAGGGTCAGCTAGGAGAGGGTACCCACCCCTCCCCCGCAGGCCAAGGGCCTTGCGCCCAGCTCGTGGGCCTCTGCACTGTCCCGGGTGGTGCTTGGACCTGGTCGTCTAGCTCCCTGCGTCTATGCAGCCCACGGCAGGACGTGTGCCTCGGGGAGCCGGGGGCCCAGGCGTGGCGCCTGGCGGAGAGAATGAAGACAAAGGCGCAGCGGCAGGTTTCTGTACAGGAAGTCGGATTATACATTTTAGTAACGGGCAGGAGAAATGAGGCATCGGGGCAACAGTGCGGGGGGCCACAGGGAGAATAAGAGATCGAGAGCTGGGGTTTGGCGTCAATCTTACAAAGTGTATAAAGAATCTGTGTTTCTCTACAATAACAAAAAAACCAAAGGCTACAAGAGCGGTTGTATATACAAAACACGGAGATATTGCTTCACTTGCAAACGGGTTCCTGACCAGACGGGAGACAAGACAGAGAGGGGCACAGGGAGGGGCTGGAGAGCGCGCTGCGTGCAAAAAGAGAGTGAGGGGAGAGAGGGGTCTTCCCCCAGCATAAATCTACAGGCAGGAGCTGGAGTCGCGCACGCACGGGAGAGGTCGAAGGCGTGTGCCGGTGCTGGCTGTGCGTGGGGGAGCAAGGGGGCCGGGAGCCAAGAGTGTCCGCCTGCCCCGGCCCCCTGACGCCTTGCTCTTCGAGCATCAGCTCGGAAGGGGGTTCTGGGTGGGGATCGGGGGACCGGTGAGGCCAACTGGCCACAGAGGGAGGGAGGCAATCGCTCCCTGGAGTCTGCCGTGGAAAACTGGAGAAGCCCGCTTGGCGCGCCCCTCCTCCTCGCCTCTGACCGGCCTGTCTAGGCTGCCACCCTCCCTGGCCCGCCGAGATGCACACCGGGACCCCAGAAAAGCAGGCGCGGCGACCCGGGAGTCTGGCTTTCCTCGAACGGGACAGCAGGTGCCACTCAACTCCTGTTCTTCCTGGGCCCCCGCCAGCCATGCGGAGCTCGATGTGAGGGCAGGAGCCGGTCACGGTCACCGAGGGACGGAGAGGGCGGGGCCGGGGAGCGCAGCGCGGGGCGGGGCGGGCGGAGGACGAGGACGCGCAGGCGCGCTTGGGTGGGGCGCAGAGCGCTCACAGGTTCTGGCAACACTGCAGCTTGCTGGGTTTCTGTCCGTCAGTGGTGGGCGGCACGCTGATGTCCACCACGTTGTTGCCGGGGGACTCGTCGTGGGCTGCGCGGTCCGCGATCTGCTTCTGAGACACGATGCGGTAGATCTCTGCAGGTGGGGGAATGCGGGGTGACCCATCTGGACCTCATGGCCTCCAGGGAGCACCACCCCCGGCGGAGCCCAAGACCCCCTCTCAAAGGAACCCCCCCTTTACCCTGGGGGGCACCCCCATCACATCGGGGTGGGGGGAAATGGTGGCAGGGGCTGGGCCCCTGGAGGCTCCCACCTGGACACCCGATGCTGGCTGGGTGCCCAGCAAGGGCGGCCTGGTGTCTGGTTATGGCCCGCCCCTCCCCCAAGCCTGGCCTCTTCTCCCGTAAGATCAGAGGCTCCTCCTCCTCAGAATAAACGCCCAGGGGCCCTGTGCCTCCGTGGCTGACCCAGCAGGCTGTTCGCCGGTGGGGCCACAGCAGAGGGCCCCACGGCAGCCAGGTGGAGGGTGTCTCTATGTCCTCAGGATCTGCCCTGTTCCCATGAAGCGCGCCATGTCTGTCCCGTCTATCCAGACCGGCTTGTGGCTTTCAAGACTAAAGCTTCAGGGGCGCCTGGGTGGCTCAGTGGGTTAAGCCGCTGCCTTCGGCTCGGGTCATGATCTCAGGGTCCTGGGATCGAGTCCCACATGGGGCTCTCTGCTCAGCAGGGGGCCTGCTTCCCTTCCTCTCTCTCTGCCTGCTTCTCTGCCTGCTTGTGATCTCTGTCTGTCAAAATAAATAAATAAAATCTTTAAAAAAAAAAAAAAAAAGACTAAAGCTTCAGGCAGGGGCTGTGCTCTGGAGTGGGCAACGGGGGCGGGGGTGTCCTCCCCAGGCCCACACACAGGGGGCATGCTGGGGTTACTGTGACCCCAGCCTAACCCTGTGACCACCTGTGAGGATGTTCTTGAAAGCTTCCTCGACGTTGGTGGAATCCAATGCTGAGGTCTCAATGAAAGACAAGTTGTTCTTTTCTGGAACAAAAAGAATATTGCCCAGGTTGGCGGTGGGGCTTGCCTGCCCGCTGCCTGGCCCAAGAACTGAATGGTGGGGGCCAAAGAGATAGGACTGAGATGCCCACCCCTCAGGAAGGGGACGCTGGCTGAGGCCAGGGACACAATGAAGATGGCAGCGGACTGGGGCAGGGGTGAGCTGCCTGCCTTCCAGTTGCTTCTCTGATGCCTCAGTCACAGTCCCACTTTTAGGAATGTGGCCCCCGGGGGAGGCCCCAGGCGGGCGTCCCCGAGTGACACCCGTGCCGCCCCCCAGCCACTCCTGTTCCGGCCCCTCCACGCCTCACCTGCAAAGGCACGAGCCTCGTCAGTGGGCACGGCCCGCAGGTGGCGAAGGTCACTCTTGTTGCCCACGAGCATGATGACGATGTTGCTGTCAGCGTGGTCCCGCAGCTCCTTCAGCCAACGCTCCACGTTCTCGTAGGTCAGGTGCTTGGCGATGTCGTACACGAGCAGCGCGCCCACTGCGCCGCGGTAGTACCTGCAGGGGACAGCACGTGAGCCAGGGGCCTCCCAGGCTCTGTGTGCAGCAGCCCCTTGGCCCCCACGCCCGGGGCAGGGAGGCACAGAGCCCGCCCGAGGCACAGTGGCCCACCGTGACTTGGCCGGTTGGACCACCAAGGAGACTGATGGACACCCAGCCATTCCATGGGATTAGGGACTTGAGAAGGTGACCAGACCGCAGTGGCGTCCCGAGGGCACACGTGAACAACAGGAAATGGCGGGACGCTGGGAGGGTCTAGGAAGAGGCAGCCCCAGTGAGTCGTGGTAGCTGGGGACCACCTTGATGCCAGGCCTCTGCGGGAGGACAGGATGAGGGCGGGACAGGGTCTGGGCTGAAGCTCAGAGGGAAGCTGGGGGAAGCCTGGCAGGACAGGCAAGCAGGCAGGGCTGGGGGGCGGGCAGAGGGCCGCAAGCCAGTCCAGGGTAACAACCCTCATGGTGCAGCCAGCATCCGGTGAAACCATAGTGCCTCAAGGGACTCCAGGGCTCAGAGGGACCATAGGACATGCCTACCCTGGGTCACAGTGTGGCCAGGACTGGACACTAGTCTTCCCAACAGTCCCACAGCTCCTGGAGGTCTTGTCCCTCCCCTTGGGGCCCCCCCACTCTCAGAGGTGTACTCTCCCCTTCTTCTGCCAAACTCCTACCCATCCTTCAGGGCCCACCGGCCCCACACCCATGGCTTCCTGCACCGCCCCGGCCCTGTCACTCACGCGGAGGTGATGGCCCGGTAGCGCTCCTGGCCGGCGGTGTCCCAGATCTGCGCCTTGATGGTCTTGCCGTCCACCTGGATGCTGCGGGTGGCAAACTCCACGCCGATGGTGCTCTTGCTCTCCAGGTTGAACTCGTTGCGGGTGAAGCGTGATAGCAGGTTGCTCTTCCCCACGCCCGAGTCCCCAATGAGCACCACTTTGGGGGCAGGAAGGAGAGAGGTAAGACTGCAGGCCAGCTACCCTGAGCCAAGGCCCATACACCACCCACGTCCACCTGCAGGACCGTCAGTGACCCCCTCGGCGCTGCACAAACTAGGAAAGCCAACATCAGAGCAGTCGGAGCCATCCTGGAGTCCAAGGCACCACATTTCCTGTGGTGCAGAAGCAAACAGAGGCTTTGGGCTTCCAGAAACAGCCACCGTGGACAGCGCAACATCCCCGCTGTCTCAGGTCCTTCAGAGCAGGGCTGCCCCAAGGGCGTACAGACCCAGACATCCCGGCGGGTGCAGAGTGGGGATCCATTAACCCCTGAACCTCCCCTGCAGCCTGGTGGCCAAGAAACCTCCAGGGCTGGGCAACCTTGGGCGAGTCACTTAACCTCTCTGGGCCGCCTTTTCTGCAAGAGGGGGACTTGAGGAGAAAAGGCAGAATCAGAACTCCACTAGCATCTAGCATGCTAAGGCAGGCGAGGGGTGGGTGGTGGTTATTGCTAGGTTCTTACCTACAAGGGTCTGTCTCTGGAGTTCCAAGCCACAGGAAATGAGAGGCCTCACCCCCATGCCGAGTCCTCCTGGGCACGGCGGAGCAGGCCCCTCCCGTCTATCCCTGTATCCCTCTCTTCATCAAGTTTCCTACCCCAGCCAGAGAAGCAACGCCTCTAGGGGCCAAGGCGCCCCAGGATCTGTGGTAGGGTCACATGAGATGGTCCAGGAGGGGTGTGAGCCCAAGAGGCTGTCCTTAGACCCAGGGCACACTGAAGTCTCACGTCTGTATATGCACAGTGTGAGCCACACATGCACGCTTGGGTATGTGTGCCGTGTATAAGAAACAACACCGGGCCGTCTGACCAGACACCCCAGGTGGAAACAACATGGACCCCCTCCACGTGTGGACCTTGGGCCCTGACACCCAAAGGTGGGTCTGTCCAGTGGAAAGCCACGGGGGTTGTAGGCTTGGTCACCCACACCCCAGTTAAGTCTTTCCTTGACGGAAAGTTGTATTTGTGCGTGGCCAAATTCCCACGGCTTCGGACCATCTTCCTGCGCCCACCCCAGCCCACCCCACCTGCACCGGGCCGGTGTCCTTGCATTGACTCTCACAGCCAACCACCAAGCTGTTTTCCTGGAGGCCGCCAGAGGGCGCAGGTGCCCACAGCCCTCCGGGGCTTCCCACGTCCCAGAGGTAAAGTCCAAATCCTCCCGGAGGTCCAAAGGGCCTTGCACTGCCTGCCCCTCACCCTCCCCTCCTCCCGCTCTCCCCCTCGCCCACTCTGCTGCAGCCACAGGGGCCTCCTTGCTGGGACTCTGAGATACACAGAGGCGCACTGCGCTCGCCTATACCATTCTTCCCCCAGGTACATGCCTGGTATCTGCCCCCACCTCCTCGGTGGGGTCCCTCAAATGGCACCCGGTGGGTCGAGGAGGCAGGCCCTCGCTGTCATCCTCTTAAAAGCCCTCACCCCTCCCCACCTGCCTTTCCTCCACAGCTTTCTCCTCCCGCAACCCTCTCACGCTCTGGCCACCCATTCAGCCACAGGGGTGGGCATCTCAGGCAGTCCAAGTCCCTGCTGTGCCCCCAGGACCTGGTGCAGTGCCCAGCACCCAGGAAGCACCCGATCGCTGTCTGCTGGACGAACAAACCCAAAGCGGTTTGTGTAGTCTCCCAGCCCCACCTCCTTCCACACCTGGAAGATGCCCAGGTTACCATCCTCAGGCCATAGGGGAGGCGGGGGGCAGGCAAGGCAGCCTCTCTGGGTGGGCTGCTTTAGAGCCAAGAATACTAAGAACCAGCAGAATGCTTAATGAGTCTGTCCAGTGAAAGCCCCTGACATGCACCAACTCCCATGAGTCTCTCGTAACCCTACAAGTCAGGAAGCAGGACAATGCCGTGCCTATTTGTAGGCCCACTCTACCTCCCAACCCTGCTTACCAGACAGGGACTTGCCCAGGGCCACCGGGCTGGAAAGTGGTCTGTCAGCATTTGAACCCACATCTCCTGCGTCTGGGGCTGAGCTCAGGGCTCTGGGTCCAGCCTCCTCCTCTCCCACTATACGGGGCATCCCGACCCTCGGAGTAGCTGGCAAACTCCCGCTCATCCTTCAAAACCCCTCAAGTCAGGCCTCTCCTCTCCCCTCTAACCCCTAGTGACCTGGCCTCCATGACCTGGTTGATAATGAGGCCGGTGTTCTCTCATGCCCAACGGAAGACTGGGAGCTGACCTCAGAGAAAGGAGGAAAGAGGTGGAGACGGACATGGGCCTGTGGCTCTAGACCATACTGTGGGGCCCACCACCTACACCCACAACCTCTCACCTCCTTCCCAGGTGGCCTCGGAGACCTGGCCAAGGCTGGAGAGGCTGGCTCACAATTCTTATGCCCTTGGAAACGGAATAGGAAACTAGCACGAGGGCCCTGGCCTGCAGTGCCATCCCTATCCTCTCCTTCCCTTCCCAGCCTTGGCCCCATCAACTCTGCTCTGGCCTAGCCACCAATCTCCTCCGCACTTCAGGGCCAGGCCCAGCCCTAAAGGCTTTGTGACTGCGTTCTCAGGCCCAGCCCAGGGGCAAATGTTCCTATTATCCTTCCCCTTATACAGCCGGGGGACACTCAACCCAGAGTGACCAAGTTCCTGGCCCAGGATCACCCAGTGAGAAAGTGGACGCCAGAGCAGGATGAGAGCCCCCGGCCCCTGCCCAGCTGAGCGGCAGGAAGGCCCGGCTGCTTGGACTGGCCCGTGGAGAGAGGTGCCCAGGGGGGCAGCAGCCAAGCTGGCCCCACGTGCAGGGTAGGAATGAGAACAGCATTGTCCAGGGCACAAGCGATCTGCTGTCTTGGGCAAATAAAGGGCCCTTGAGGACACAGCCCCTAGAATTTCCACAGAAGTCGGTGGCATCACTGGCTGGGAAGTAGCCCCCCCCCCCACATGCCACTTGGCTGGCGGAGCAGGCGAGCCCAGTTGGCAAAAACAAAGAGCCAGCACCCCTTGAAGCCCTGGGTCCTCCCACCTGCCCCATGACAGTGTGGCACCCCTGGGGCCTGCATGCTGACATTCAGGTGGAGTGTGGCCATTTGGGTGGGAGGGGGCTGGCACCCCTATCCAGGCAGAGCAGGCCCCTGCTTCTCCCCCAGAAAGCCAGCCCTGACCATCCCAGGCCCCAGAGACTGGCCCTTGGGGGCAATCCCACCACAGTTATATTCTGGGGAATCAGAGCAGAGGACAGATCGGGACCCAAAGCCAGGGCACAGGCAAGGCCACCGTGGGCCAATGGGGGAAGATGGCATGCTTTGGTCCTTACCAGTGGGTCTGGTGGGGGGCCCTGCCCAGGCTGGAGAGCACGGAGGCTGCCTCAGGAGCACTCAGCAAAGGAGGGTGAGCACAGGGCTGGCCTGTTTCCTGGCTGCTACTCTTCCCTCACCCCCTTTCCTAAAAGGACTCATCGATGGTACGGGGTGGACAAAGCCCAGAGGACGTGGTCCTGGGCTACCACAGCAGCTTCCCACTTCAACCCACATCCTCAGAGGCCAGGTGAGTGGCCGGGGGCCTCTCAGAAGTCCCTGGTGGCCCTTGGGGACATAGCTGCTCCCACTGTGGATCCCACAGTCGGGTCCAAGCCAAAAGAGGTCAGGGTTGCCCCGAGGGGCTGATCTGCAGGCTGGGAAATGGCCCATGGCTGACAGGATAAAATGTTTAGCAGGCTGAACATGAAAATCTAAAATTAGGTACAAAAAAACAACCTTACTTGGGAGGGGGCGATGCGCAGTGAGGAAAACACCCTGGGGGATTTGCTGGCCTTGGTCTTGGGAGGTCAGCGGAGCCAACATGTGATGTGGCTGCCAAAATTACCACGGCGGTGGCCAGAGGGTGAAGCAGGGGGCAGTCAGTGTCCCAAGTGAGAAGTGTGGCTCCTCTGTGCCAAGGGAAGGGCCAGAAGTTACTAAAGCCTGGGGGAGGCTGAGCACAGGGTCGGGGGCAGGACGATCGCCGGCCCTCCCCTCCTAAAGGGCCCCTCGGACCAGGCGACAGGGCTGTGGAGCCTCAAGGTAAGGAAGTTGGCCCCTGTCAACCCTTCTGGTGTGGTCTCTACTTGGGACACCTCTCTACTGCCCATACCTGATCCTCTGCAGGCCACGGGGTCTCAGGAGGGTCCGGGGGACAGTATACTTGGGCTTCTAATGCTGTCTACCCACGGCAAGTGGTGTGACGGTGGTGGCTTGCCTACCTTCTGGCTTCTTTCCTTCCTTCTTTACGTGCCAGACCCATACAGTTTCCTTCTCCCATTTGAGTGAAAAACGGAGTGGATTTCAAGAGAAACACGCAGAGGTAATAGGGAGACCTTCGACAAGACATACGAGTGACTGTGAGGTCTCAGATGCTGGGAGTTTGGGAAATACTGACCTTGTGGATTTGACTTTCACTTCTAACCCTGTGTGAGCAGGGCACCTGCTGACTCAGAAAAGGAGGCTAGTAGGGGAGGGCAGCAGGGCAGGTGGCCCACACCTGCACCCCCGCCCTGTGCCAGTGGCCACCGAAGCCAGATCTGGGCTTCCAGTAAGCGGACTCGGGGATGAATCCCAGGAAGCACACAGCCGCTCCATTGCCCCGACCCAGTAACTGGACTTCTGGGAACGTACTTCAAGGAAATAAGCGAAAGGGCAAAAGATGACTAGTGCAAATACTTAGGCTGGGTTATTTATAACCGCAAGCGGCTGAAAATAACAAGCGGGCAATGGCCCCGGAAACCTGGAGGTGGTGACTGGGGTTAAGGTCCCCTTCCCTGGCAGCCCAAATCCAGGTGTGTGTCCAACGGGGAGCTGGGGAGCAGCGGCCTCAGGGCCCCAGCCGCAGAAGGATGGGAGGCATGTCCGCCTGTGGCCAGTCTATTTGGGGGATTCATGGAAGAGCTTCCCCTGCCTTTAACGTGAGACCTCAGGGCGCAGACGGCAACGGGAATAACTGCTGACCACACAGCTTCACCCACCAGTGACTTAGGAGCCCGCACGCAGCTCCCCAGGCCCACGGCGCCATGTGACAGCTCTGGGCCTCTGTGCAGGCACTCCCCCAGCCCAGAAGCCTTTTACCATGTGGATACCCCAGGTAGGCAGCACTCTGCCCCTCTCTGCACATCCCCAAGTTCCCCAGGCTTCCAGCCTCACAATGTGGGATGATACCACGGACACAATGGTCAGGGTCGGACACGGACCACGCTCCCAGCGACAGCCAGGCTTCCCCGGCGAGGGGGATGAGGCCAGCCACTGGTGTGGGAGGCAGACCCGCACACATCAGGCAGAGGGACGAGGTACCTCATGCGGGCCCAGACGTAGCTATCAAGGGCAACCACTGTCAGCCAGGGAGCCCAAACAGACAGCCCGGGGCCTGGCCAAAGCCCAGGCTGGCACAGAAGGCACTGTGAAGTCAGTGACTCTTTTTTCTTTTTTTTTAAAGACTTTATTTTTAATTGATCTCCACACCCAAAGTGGGGCTGGAACTTACAACTCAGAGACCAAGAGCTGCATACTCTACCGACTGAGTCAACCAGGCGCCCCTAAAGCCATTGACTTAAGTCACTCCACAACCCCAGCAATGTGGAAGGACTCTCCCCAGCTTGAGCGGCCAGGCAAGGGAGCTGGGTCAGCAGTGGCTGCCTCACCTGCCAAGGCCGCACTGGAGGCTCCTACAGCCCTCTGTCCCCGGGGCAGGGACGATCTTCCAGCAGGTTGGCCGAAGGCCAGCCCATCAGTGCGCATGTGCTGGGGGAGGTGGTCTGACAGGCTTAGTCCCACATACACTCCTTGGGTGGGAAAGCCCACAGCTGACAGCTCTGGGTTCAAATCCTGCTCCAACATTTTGCAAACCTGCCCTGTCTCTCGGGGATCTCAGTTTCCAGGTCCCCAGAGGCTGGATACTACCGACGACCTCTCAGGGCTGGGGCGAGCATTTCAGTGAATTCGTGAAGTGCTCAGAGAAGGGCAGGCGCTTCAGTAGCTCTATTAAGGGTTCTAAGAGTTCAAAGATATTGTTACTGTTAACCACCAAGCCTCGGTCCGGCACACACGGTCCCCCCCGCCAGGAGCCCCTTCCACGCAATTCTGGGTCAGCACCCCAATCCAGGGTCCCCCACCACGCACGTCCCCCAGCGTCCTCGCCCTTCCCAGGCCCCGTCCCCAGATACGTTGCCGCCAATCAGGACCGGCTCCTCCCACTCCGTAAGAGCATCACCCCCACCTGCCCCGTCCCAGCCCACTTCTTGGACACGCCCACCGCACCCTAGCCCCGCCTCTGACGGCCCCGCCCCCATCACGAACGGAGCTTTCCACCCAGCCTGGCCCGCCAAATACTGGGGAGACCCCGCCCCCAGAGGCCCCGCCCCTAACGGCCTCTCCCACCGCTTGGGGCCCCACCCCCTCCCGGCCCCGGCCCCGCCTCGGCGCATCCAGGGCCCCCGGGGCCTCTGTGGGCCGCCCGCTCCGCACGGCTGCACACTCCAGCCCAAAGCCGACCGAGCCCAAACTGCCCCGGCCTTGCCGGCTGCCTAACCCGCCGGGCCCCAAGTCCCGGGCTCCGGCCTGGGCCTAGCGGCCTGGAGCGTAGCCTCAACCCGCCTGCCCGCCTCCTCGCTACCGTCCCCTAGCCCGTCTCTGTCCCACAGATCGCACCTTTGAATAAGTAGTCGTACTCGTCGTCCCGGGTCCCCATTGTCCTGGCGCTTCCGGCGGGATCGGCGACTCCGCAGCCCCACCACAAACACCCGACGGGGGCGGAGCCGGCGCCGCGCAGAGCGGCGGGTGGTTGACCAATCAGAGGCGGGTAGCGTGGCGACCGGCACCCAGAGCAGCCAATCACAGGCGGAAGCAGAGCTTCAGGGGTGGGCGCCGCCTGGGATCCACCCTCCTCGCCTTCGGTCTCCTAGAGAAAGGCGGAAGGAATGCGGACCTTTCTGAAGTGACGGCCGCATCAGCCTATCAGACGTAGTCTCTGGAAGGCGGGGCGGAAGACTGTAAGAATGAAACAGATTGATGGAGCGAGTAACGAATGACAGGCTTGATTCAGACGGTCCGGGATTGCCAAGAGGACCTGTCCAGGAAGGGAAATGGGGCTACGTCCAGGTGATGTTACGCTAGTTAACGTCCCAATGACGTCATAGGTCAATCCGCGCTGCTCTGCTCCCCCCGACCTCACGCCCGCCTCCTCCTGCCCTCCCAGTATATGACCGTTTCCAGGCCTTTGAGAGGGTTCCCCCCCCCATCTAGAGGTTCCCTCTCCGCCCTTGGTTGGGTTTCCATCACTATATTCGTGAGTCATTAAGGTACCCCTGCTACCTCAGTTTCCTCCGCTGCATGACGGGAGAAAACCACTTCGTGGAGTCTTTGGAAGATAACTAGATTATCTGGAGACCTAACGACATACTAAGTCAACCGTCCACTTTGTCATTAAGCCTTTAACAAGTATTTATAAAATCCTTCCTGGACGTCAGACTCTCTCCAGCATGATCTCCCCTTCTCTATCCCCTTGCCCGGTGTTTTCCCACCTTCCTGCACCCCCAGGATTTACCACTACCTGACATTAGACTTTGCATTTCTGGGGGCGCCTGCCTGGCTCAGCTGGTGGAGCATGCGACCCTTGATCTCGGGGTCGTGAGTTCAGGCCCCATTTGGGCGTAGTGCTCACTATATATATATATATATATATATATATATATATATATGTGTGTGTGTGTGTCTGTGTGTGTGTGTGTATATGTATATGTGTGTATATATATTTCTTGATGCATTGATCTCTGTAGTCTCCTGCCAACGGAACATCAACCCCATGAAGGCAAGGGCTCTGTCTGTCACTGCTGGTGCTGTGTCCCCAGTGCTCAGTAAATATTTGATCAGTGATGAATAATGTAACCAGAGAGCTCTGTGGTCGTGATTTTTTATAACTATAATTATAATTATCACAGTTGCCTCCTAGACCTCATCCCTCCATTGTCCAGCAGGCATCCCAGACACTAATTTGCCCTCCCTTCCCATATGTGCTCCTTCTGTGACTCCATGTACCCCACGTTACCCCCTCCTCCATTCCCTCTCCTCCCCCCTGCCCATCTCATAGCCGGAGGTCGTGGATTCTTCTCTCCTCATCTTTTAGTCCCCTGCTTCTTCCCGCCCTCCCTTCCCTCAGTTGTCTTACTGTGTTTCTCCTCCCTCCTGAATTTCTGACCACTTCTCACCCCCACTATTGCCACTATCTCAATCCTGGCCCCAACATCACTCTCTGGACCTGAGCTGCTGTCTGTGCCCAGATCTCCCTGCTCTGCCCTCACCCCACACAGTCTGTTTTTTTCCACAGCAGTCAGAGGAATCCTTTTTTCCTTTTTTTTTTTTTTTTTTTTTAGGGAGGCTCTATGCCCAACACGAGACTCAGTCTCACCACCCTGAGATCAGGAGTCACACGGTCCACCGGCTGAGCCAAGCAGGAGCCCCAATCAGAGGAGTCTTTTAAAACATAAGTCAGGACCCCTGGATGGCTCAGAGGGTTAAGCCTCTGCCTTTGGCTCAGGTCATGATCTCAGGGTCCTGGGATCGAGCCCTGCATTGGGCTCTCTGCTTGGCGGGGAGCCTGTTTCTCCCTCTCTCTGCCTGCTTCTCTGCCTACTTGTGATCTCTGTCAAACAAATAAAATCTTTTTAAAAATTAAAAAAAAATAAAACATAAGTCAGATTGTCCCACTCCCCTGTTTAAAAATCTTTCAATTCTTCCTTTAATAAACATTTACTGAGCTCCTACTAAGTGCCAAGCAGTGTTCTAGGTGCTGGAGATGCAGCATTGACTAAGACGAAGTCCTAGCCCTCACAGAGCTGGCAGTCTAATGGGGTCAGGCCAACAAGAAGCCAGTAAACAATCTGCATAAGATAATTTCAGAATGGGAGGAGGGCAGTGAGGGGGATAACTTGGATTATGTGATGATGGTGACACTCCTTAGTTAGGAACCCAGGGAAGGCATCTTGGAGAAGGTGACATTTGCACTGTTTGGGGGAAGAGCAGGAGGTGGTGGGAACAGTATTTCAGAAGGACACAACAGCAAGTGAGAGAGACTCCGATGGGTTTGAAAAGCCAGGTGGCCATGGTGGCTGGAGAGTGGGGATCAGGGGCCAAGAGATCGGACAAGGTGAAAAATCAAAGCTGGAAGCCAGACCAGAGTGGACACTCCCAGGGACCTTGTCAGCACACTCTCGGGCAGTTGGCTCGAAGCCTTGCACATTCCCGCACAAATGCCCTCCCCACCCACCCCCAGCTCACCATCCTAGCTTCCTGCCCAAATGCTACAGCCAGGTGGGGCTGTTAAATGTTTCCCCAGTGAGCTTTACTTCCTGCCAAGGTCACTAGATTTTGCTCTCACTGTGCCCTCTTCCTAGAATACCATCCTCCCACCTTCTCTGTAGGAATTTCATCCTTCTTTGAAACCTGACTCAAAAGCAACCTCCACCCTGAAGCCTTTTCTCCTGTCTAGGTTATGCTCCTCTCCCCGCAACCCTCCAGGATAGCTCACAGTAATATTAGTAATGTTGACTAATGTTTATATGGTGTGCTAGGAGCCAGACACTATTTGCCGTGCTTTTCATTCACTGCTACATGAAATCCTCACAGCACCAGGAGAACAGAAAGGGGTAGGGATCGGAGGGTGGGGTACCAGAGGCTCCCTGACCCCATTTTCCAGATGAAGGAACTGAGGCCTCAGAGCTTTAACAGACTATCTCTAGTCAACTAGGAGAACGATGAGGTTGAAGAGTTCCAAATCTGGAGTTGGACGGGTCTGGATTCCCAACCTGGCTCTTGTTTGGTTCCCAATCCTAGTGGTTATTTTTTGTTGTTGTTCCTGGGATGGAAGAGGTGGTGATGACAGGGAACAGAGAGGGTTGGGGAGATAAGCTCTCTTAGCAGAGGTTGAGAATTAAGAGGGCAGAGGTGAGGGAACCCCCTACCACCCAACCTACCTAGAAGGCACATCCCACCACCTTCAGGCACAGTGGGCTCAAGGGAGACTCTGCAAGCCTGCCTGGGACAGGACACCCCCAAACAAGGAGCCTGGAGAAGGTCCGGCCCTCCAAATGAGGAGTTCATCACCCCCACTCAGCCAGGGTCCCAGCGAAGCTACTGTGTCCCCAGCACAACCAGGAAGGAGTCACAGGACCAGAAAAGCACAGAATTTTCCTTTAGCAAAGGAGGCCCCCACTGCTTTCCCAAGAACATTTAAAAAACATATTGCAAAGATATGTTTTCCTATTAAAACAGTAGCTGGGGCTCAGGGCTCAGACAGATGTTGTTTTTCCCAAACATGTGTCCTGGAGACAAGGCATCACATTATGCCAGACCACATGATATGAGTGGCAATTTTAGGCAGTGCATTAAAGACCGTTGAACCACTTGCTGAGAACGTTGTATCTTTTTCCCCATTTCTCAAGTATTATCTATCAAGGAGAGAGGCTTGCTCTCTTTTGCTCATACCTCTTGAACAGTTTCCTACTGCTCATCTCCCTTTTTTTTTATTTTTTTTAAAAGATTTTATTTATTTATTTGACAGACAGAGATCACAAGCAGGCAGAGAGGCAGGCAGAGAGAGAGGAGGAAGCAGGCTCCCTGCTGAGCAGAGAGCCTGATGCGGGGCTTGATCCCAGGACCCTGGGACCATGACCTGAGCCGAAGGCAGAGGCTTTAACCCACTGAGCCGCCCAGGCGCCCCTTTTTTAAATTTTTAAAAAGATTTTATTTATTTATATGATGGGGGTGGGGGCAGAGAACACGAGCTGGGGGAGAGGCAGAGGGAGAAGCAGATGCCCAACTGAGCAAGGAGCCCAGTGCAGGGCCCAATCCAGGAACCCTGTGATCATGACCTGAGCCAAAGACAGACGCTCAACCAACTGAGCCACCCAGGTGCCCCTCATTTAAAAAAAAAAAAAAAGATTTATTTGTTTATTTATTTATTTGAGAGAGAGAGAGAGAGAGAGCAGAGAGGGGAAGGGGAAGAGGGAGAGAGAGTCTTAAACAGACTCCTCCACACTGAGTGCGGAGCCCAACGTGGGGCCTGATCTCACAACCCCAAGATCACCACCTGAGCCAAAACCAAAAGTTGGACACTTGACTGACTCCGTGCCCTCCCCTGGATGCCGCCCATCTCCCTCTCTATACAGAGCTCCAACACAGGCTGAGAGCCTGCAGAAGGCAACAGGATCAGGCTAGAATTTTTCTTGCCCATGTTTTATTGTGAATTTTTAACATTTCGAGAAATGAAAAGAATCGTGTAGAAAATATCTAGATTCCACTATTAACATTTTATTTTATTACATATCCATCTCTCTGTCCAGCCACCCAACACTCTGATGAATTTCAAAGAAAGTTGAAACTTTGGAGGACTTTAATGTATGGCATGGTGACTATAGTTAGTACTTGAAAGTTGCTAAGAGAGCAGGGGTTAAATGCTCTCACCACAGAAAAGAACAACTAGGGTGTGATGGAGGTAACCGCTCACACTATGGGGGTAGCCATTTTACAATACATATGTGTATCAAATCAATGCATTGTACACCTTAGACTTACACAATGTCTTATGTCAGTTGTATCTCAATATAGCTGGAAAAAAATAAAAATGAAAGAAACTTGAAGACATTAGTCAGCTTACACTTGAGCACACATATCATTAACTAGAATTCAGTATTTTTTTATGGCTCTTTTTCTTTTTTTTTCCTTCTAAGGTGAAACTTACATACAACGAAATACAACCTTAATTGTGCATTCACAGAGACAGACACA